GGGGTTAAATAGACAGTGGGATACTTTTTGGCCAGAAAAAAGAATGAAATCTTGCTTGTTTATTACATGGCTGGACCCTGAAGGCATGCTAAGTGAAATAGTGAGACAAACACCATATCATGTCCTTTATATGTGGAAATTAAACAACCAAAACCAAGCTTCTAGATAACAGCGAAGACATTAGTGGTTGCCAGAGGTGGGGGCTGGGTGGTGGGAGAAATGAATGAAGGGGTCAAAAGGTAAAAGCTTCCAGTTGTAAAATAAGACCTGGATGTAATATACAGCATGGAGACTATAAATAATATTGTATTGCATACTTCAAAGTTACTGAGAGCAGATCTTAAAGGTCCTCATAAAAAAAAAAAAAAAAAAAAAAAAAAAAAAAAAAAAAAAAAAAAAAAAAAAAAATTTGCCCTAACCGGTTTGGCCCAGGGGCTAGAGCATAGGCCTGTGGACCAAATTTGATTCCAGCCAAAGGCATGTACCTTGGTTGCGGGTACATTCGCAGTGGGAGGTGTGCAAAGGCAGCTGATAGATGTTTCTAACTCTCTATCCCTCTCCCTTCCTCTCTGTAAAAAAATCAATAAAATATATTTTAGAAAAATAAAATGAATTTTGTAATTATGTATAGTGATGGATGTTAACTAGACTTATTGTGATCATATTGTAGTATATACAATACTAAATCTTTAGGTTATACATCTGAAACTAATATAATGTTATATGTCAATTGTCTTCCATATTGAAAAACAGAAACAACTTTTAGTCTGGCAAGTAAAAAAACAAAATAGTAGATAATGGTGACATTTTTAAAATCATGAAGGTAATAGATCAGGTAGTGTGGAGCACTAGATTTAGGGACTCGGGAAGAGTCAAGGCCAATTTAAGATGTTCTCTTTCATACATGAAACTCAGCTTGTAAACAATTTTTTAAGTTAGATGAATTCATATCTTTTACTACCTCTGAAGTAAGGAAGAAAATGATTTTTCTTTTCTTTTCACAGTGCTGTGACCTATTCTGGAATCCATCTGTTGAGATGTTTTACAGCAACTATAAAACAGGAAATCTTAAGACTAATTAATGGCACCTAACTTTGCTGAAGACTCCACAGTTTTTATGGGAATTGGAGTTATACACAAGCATTTCTACATTGTTTTAAAGGTTGCATATCTGTCATTTGCAGAGTACCAGTTCAACCTTAAAACCTACATCTTCTCAAAGCAGGAATGAATTTGTGCCTGAGGGAAGAGGGTTTATAAGTGATTGAATTAGGCAGTTCATTAGAACAGATAATAGCAGTTTTCCCTATTTTAACAAACTGACAAACAAGAGCAACATATAGAAGCCCATAATATGAAAACGTATTTACTACTGTGTAGAGAAAGTTTTCCCATGTTATTTGTTGGGCTGTGTCTTTTAAAGAATGTCTATTATGTATATACTAGGGGCCCAGTGCAGTGCACCTTGAAAGGAACCGAGGGCCATGAAGCTCCAGTAGGCACAGAGGCAAGTCCCCTGTCCGGCCCCTGTCACTGTGGCCCCCAGTCCCCTGTCTGCTGGCAGCCTCATTCCTGGCCCCGCTCGCCCTGCTGACAATGTGGAGTGATTGGTGCCGGCACCAGCAGCAGGTGCTAACGCCAGGCAGGACCACAGCATATGGAAGAAAAAAATATTCAGTAACCACCAGAGGCTCACCCCGATGACAACAACCAGCAACTTGCCTTGGTTGGTGCCCCCGCTCACCTGCTCCACCATCCCACCATAGCCAAGACCCACCCTGTTCCACGCACACCCTCTGGTGGCCGGCACACATCATAGGGACCAGTTGTTCTGCAGTTTGGTCTATTTACACATTAGAGTTTATATATATATATATATATATATAATTATTAAAATAGAGTAGTTAAAAAGGGAGTTCTTTTCTATTAAGGTAGGGTAAAGATAAATGCTCCTATCTATGCCTGTCACTTATCTTTTTCTGAGTCGTTATATGAATATTTTAAAAAAACAACTATTGATGAAATTTCAGTGGGTCCATGGTAGAAACAACCAATAAACTGAGATCAGGATCAATCACCTTCAGGTGATTGCTTGATCTTGACTTTCTGAGGAGCCTTATGAAATACTAGAGGCCTGATGCATAAAGATTCATGCAATGGGCCTTCCTTTCCTGGGCTGCCAGCACCATCTTCACTCTGGCTGGAATGCCTTTTTGCTCTGGCCCAGAGATGCCTTTCCACCTTGCCATGCTGCCCAGAGGGGCAGGGCAGAATGCCTGCATCATTGCCATTGTGATGACTAAGCATCAGGCTCTGCTCCTGTCCACTCAGCACCTGTGTATGCAAATTAACCCACCATCTTGTTGGGTTAATTTGCATACTGGTTGGCTGGTGGGCATCACAAAGCTATGGTCAATTTGCATGTTACTCTTTTATTGGTGTAGATGCCTCTGAATTGCCATTAAAGGAGGAGGGTGACCCACACCTCTTCCGTATTGTCCACCAAGGGCCAAGCAGTTTCTGCAGCTTGTCAGAAGCCAAGAGGCAAGAAGTGAGAGGTTCCTGGAGTAGGAGGCAAGCTACAGTTGTCTGGTCCTACTCCAAGTTGTTCATTATGGCAGCAGCTAAAGAAGGTCAAGATGATTTGAAGATACAGGGGAAGTTTCACCACACTTCTCTTATAAACAACTTGATTTTCTAATGCCACCAGAAGTTGTTAAATTGGTATTCACTATGACACTACAGTAGTTTCTAATTTACTAGGTAAGTTATACTTTTATTTTATAGTTTATTTTTAAAAATTTTAAACATTTGAATTTAAATTGCTTGGAAAATAACTGATATAAAATACTATATTCCTTATAAATAATCATTTTGTAGACTTGAACCTTACGTCATATGAAGCTTCTTTCTATTTTTCTCAGAATTGTAAGTAGCTCAAAAGAAGGAGAAGAAGAAACTTACTGCAAGAAACATTAATAATAGGGAAAAGAGGGCTAGGTTCATAGTCCATTCCGGCCTTTATTGTTTTACCTTCTTAGATAACTCACTGACTCGGGTTTTTCCAATGAGGGATAATCTTCAGTCTCCTTCTATTGTAATTAAAACTGCGTGATTCTTAAACAATAATGCTACTTCATATGAAGAAACCTAAGCCCAAAGGAACTGAGTAGCTCAGTGGTCATGAGCAAATATCATAAAAGCAGAAGCAAGACTTGGAATAAGTCTTAGAATCTTAGAAGCTGATGGCTATTACTAGACTTGTCATGAATAAGCTCTTGCTATTGTCCATGTTTTAAGGTGGTTGGTAACTACTACCACTTGGAGTAATAGGAAGCTAGGAGAAATAGAAACTGAAAAGTCACTCAAGATTGATTAAGAACTGTTCATTAAATCATTATGTAACAAGCCCTGCTCTCCTTCTCTTTTTAATAAAACTCTGCATTTTGGGCTTCTTGCATCAAAATCACCTGGGCTCATTAAAATTGCAAACTTGTGTGGCTTTATTTTGTGGCTCTGTTTCTCTCTTCAGAAAGGACTAGGAATCAGTGCTTTTAAACCACCCACTAGGTGATTCTCAAACAGCCTAAAGTTTGAAAACCATCCTATTTAATAAAAGAATAATAGGCAAATTGACCATCACTTCAAGACAAGATGGCTATCCCATGTGGACAAAGATGGCCACCATAAGATGGCCAGCAGAGGACAGCAGTTGAGAGGGACCAGGCCTCTAAGGGAGGGCAGTTGGGAGCAATCTGGCCAGCAGGGGAGGGCAGTTGGGAGGGAACCTGGCCTGCAAGAGAGAGCAGTTGGGGGTGACCAAGCTGGCAGAGGAGGGAAGTTGGGGCAACTTCCTGCAGATAAGGGCAGTTGGGGGAGACACAGGCCTGCGAGGAGGGCAGTTAGGGGCAACCAGACTGGCAAGGGGGGTAATTAGGGGTAACCAGGCCAACAGAGGCAACCAGTCCAAAGTGGGAGTGAGGGGGAGTTAGGGGAAATCAGGCCAGCACACAGAGGCAGTGAGGGATAACCAGGCAGGCGGGCAGGTGATTGATTAGGAGCCAGCAGTCTAAAATTGTTAAAAGGATGTCTGACTGGATCTCCAGGATTGGGCATAAACCAGCAGTTGGACATCCCCTGAGGGGTCTCAGATTGGAGAGGGTGCAGGCTGGGCTGAGGAGATCCCCCCCTTCCCCATGCATGAATTTCATGTACTTAACTTCTAGTAAACTTATAATTTGGGACTGATGCTGTCATCTGACATTAGCATGTTGCTTGTTCATTGTTCCAAGAGGAAAATCTTAATGTATTTTCAAACAATGGTGTGAAGTTTGAGGTAAGTTTTCAAATGTTCTAGAAAAGCTTACTAGAAAAGTTAATAAGCTTCTTTTTGTTAAGTAGGTTGTAGCTGTAAATTTTATATTATATAGACTTATAAAAAAATGAAAGTGTTTTCATATATAATGCATTTTTTTCCTTATCCATCCTATCATTTTCTTCTATTTCCTTTCCCTTCTTTATCTGGCCTTGCTCATTCCCTTTGTGCTTCTATACATTTCCTTTTATCTACTAGAGGCCCAGTGCATGAAATTTGTGCATGGCAGATGTGTCCCTCAGCCCAGCTTGCACCCTCTCCAAACTGGGATCCCTCTCACAACCCAGGACTGCTGGCTCCCAACTGCTCGCCTGCCTGCCTTCCTTAGTTGAATTAGGGGTTAGTTCAATTTCACTAACTCCCTGCTGGCCTGTTTGTAGGCAGCCATCTTGTGAGGGTTAATTTGCATATTACCTCTAATATATAGAATGTTTAGCCACATATCCGGGTCTATTTTGTGTCTTCTAATTCTATTTTTTCATTTACCTTTCTCACCTACTTCCACTTTGTTTTATTCTGTTATATTTCATGTATAACCCTGGGTCACATTCCAGTATATCCTTCCCAGAATCAGACACATATACCCTATAAATAAAACAAACAAACAAAAAAATCCCACAAATTGGAAAATTCCAAAAGCAGTTTAACATCCTCTTCTATGAGATAAGGTGAACAAATAAAGTGAAATAATGTCTGCACCTGTCCTTGGTTCCTTTAATGATCAACTTTAATGTATCAATAAGACAGACTACCATAGAAGCTACAAACCTTGATGTTCAGAAGTGGACTTACCTATAATGGAGCCAGTAAGGCCAAAGTGGCCTTTTCCATGCTTCCTTGCTATTCCCTACCTCCTCCCCATTTTTTATTTTATTTTTTTAATAAGGCTTGGAGAAGGTTTTTACAAACCTGAGTAATCGGGTCTTTATTCCCAGGTAAGTTATAAAATTATTATTTTTCAGGGACCCTACCAGATTCAGTCTGGATATCTGCTTTTCAAGGGCAGGATTTAGATTTTTTCATTTTAACACCTGGCAAATTGGACCATTGAATAATCTACCATCTGCCAATAAATGACACAAGGCTACTATAAATGTTTATTGAACTGAAATGAATTGCTATCAAGGTTGCAGTAAGTCTCAAGTCCAAGTGGTGCTTTCAGATCTTTCCGGATCTCAGAAGTTCCACTTAAAACAGCAGAACACTGGACAAGTTTGCTAATCACTTAAAAGTCCCACAGAGGAGTATCTAAACTCCCATTAAAGCAAAAATATCATCAATGTCATCTGTCTCCTTAATGCTTCTTGGTGTATTATGTTTAGTTATTTGCATCATGGTCCATGAATCCCTTTCATTTTCATTGCTTCCTGCAATGTTTTCATGATTTTGTTTCTCCTTAGTTTGTATGACAGGATTTGAAGCTCTGCTACTCAAGAGTTGCTTACTGTTAGCATAGAGATTAGTTTTATGAACTGCTCGGTGTGAGAGGCTCCGTTTAATGATATCTGTAGAACTCTGAGTCCCTTGAAGGGGCTGCTGAATTTCCTTTAAAAGCGTTGGCTGCAACTTTCTCTGTGGTTTTCTCTGTCTCAGTAAAAACTTATTCTGTGATCTTCTTAGTCTCAAATGATGCTTTGAAGTTTTGCTATCTGAGCCACAAAGAAGGCAGTTGCAAATCGATGTTTTTATGCACTCTAGTTTCTTGGGCAAACTTTAAAGGACAGAGAGAAAGGGAAAATCTGAGATTGTTAAATGGCAGAAAACATTCTCAAAAACTTTTGTCTCCTTTTCACCAACTTCCAACAGGAAATACACAATTTACCTAAATCCCATTCTTTTGTACAACCCCAGAATCATGATGAAAAATAAGAAAATAGGAGCTTCAACTCAAATCTGTTTTCAGAGCACGACTTCCCTCATTCAGGCTGTAGGCAAATGTGTCCCCCTTATATTCCCAAAGTAAAGTAGCTCCTACAACTGCCTAGCAAGGTAGCTTAGTGGTGAGATACCTCCATACTTAGTGTCAGAGCTTTTTCCTGATAATTGCTAATCTGTTCATAATGTAATTAATTGAAGTGGTACTGGGGAAAGGATGTATCTCAAATAGGAAAAAGTCTGTGAGGGTGCATTCTTCCACTTCTGTATAAACAACTTCCTGGAAGTTGTAGCAGGAACTGAATAAGAAAAAAGGAATAAAATTGAAGAAGTTTATATAAAGAATGAGAAGACAGGGCTTCTAGCACACAAGACTGACAGCTTTGAGCTTCCCAATTTGTGATTCATCTGTATCATCTTCAAGTTTCGGAATTCAGAACTCAAATAGCTGATTGATTTAGGTATTTTGCTTCTGAATAGGGTGCATTGCCACAGGTGCACTGGTACTTTGCTAACTGCCTCACCGGTTGTTTAGTCAGATTTCAAAAAGATTAGCATGCATCTGTACTTCCTGCCCAACCATCCTCCCCTCTTCTTTTTTAAACATATAGAACTTTGTGGAAGGCCATTATAATGTTATTAATAACTGATCTCTGTCTCCAAACTGGTGTTTGTTTTGTCTTTTTGCCTTAATATAAGCAGAGATTTTTGAGTAGTGAAAGGCTAGATATATTTCCCAGTGGAAATAGAAATACAGCCCAGCTGGAGTGATTCAGTGGTTGAGCATTGACCCATGAACCAGGAGGTCAGAGTTCAATTCCTGGCCAGGGAACATGCCTGAGTTGTGGGCTCAATCCCCAATAGGGGGTGTGCAAGAGGTAGCCAGTCAATAATTCTCTCTCATCACTGATATTTCTCTCTCTCCTTCTCCTCTCTGAAATCAATAAAATTATGTTTTTAAAATGGAAATAGAAAGGATGATAACAGGCGATCTGAATTGACCTGTACATCTCCAACACCCTGAGCAAAACCCTTAATTTCCTCTCCTATTCAATGAGGATAATACTGCCTACCCTACAATTACTGTGGACACGAAGTACATTTAAAATATTCTACATCTTAAACAGCAAAACAGCACTATATATTTGTGAAATGCAAAATAATGGTTTAACCAAATAAACACTAGTTTGTTATCCTTTTCATGAACTTTTAATGATTATCATCTCTGCTTCATTTACCCCTGACATCAAACCCAATCTTGAGCAAGACAATTCTCTCCATCTCTAGCTGCTCCCACCCTGAGATCCCTTTTAGATGGACAGCCTTTGAGGGATCCCAATGTGAAAATTTTTTCAGAAATTCATTCCTGAGGAATACTTAATTTCTACCATATCCTTTTATCAAAACTTGTTACAAAACCTTTACTATATCCAATTTTTTCCTAAAATGGGAATATTTTTTCGATAAAGTAAAAAAATGAACAAATTTTAGACAAAATGGGAACCATTATAAAGTCCTGAATAGATATATAACTAACTATAGATAAGAGATTATAGTGAATGCACAGAATGTTGCTTGAAGGACACACTAAAACCTGGTCAGAAGGACTGCCTCTGTGAAGGGGGAATAAGATCTCTATTGCCATTTGTGGCTGACATTGTTACTGTGAGCATCTATTGTTTTTTTGTGTTTCTTTTTGTTTTCAATAAAAATAAAGCCCTCAAGTGTCTAATTTCATGTATTATTTCAAGCAGTACTTACTGGCTCACAAAGATGACTATCCTTAGGCAGTTCTATGCAAAGAAAGCAGTACACAGAGAGTCTAGCTCCTAGGAAGGAACATTACCTGACCCTGACCTCGGAGTATGGTGTGTGCCCTTGTAGAAGGCAGGCACCTTCTTCATCTGCTCTCACTCACTCATCCTGCTTCTCTGAAGCTGTGGGCAGACGGGCCATCATTGCTACTAAAGCTAGCATCTGTGAGGATTAAGTTTGCTTTACATACAGTTGTATCCTCAGACATTCCTAATGCTTCTGAATGAATGGATGAATAGAATGGTGAAGAGTATAAATAAATAAATCCAATTAACACGTTAAGCACCCAGTCACCGGTGACAAAACACAAAACAGGCTGGAGGCTTAATGTGTTAACCAAGTTTACTCCTCACAGTGATACAACTGTGCCCAACAAAAGCAGCAAATAAAATTGCAGATGGAGCAGATTCTACTTTTAGGCCCCCTTACCCATTTTAAAGAAAGCTGACTTGTATATACTATTTCCTAAATAACAAAGAACATAATTTTTAATATACCTACCTATAACCTTGAGCTTCCACATGTTTAAGGTGGTTACTTTTAAGAAGTTTATTGCCCAGAAAGGAAGCCTGAGCCTTGAGCTTCTTGCTCCTGCACCACACAATCGCCATTTGGATTTCTTCAGAAAGTTGTATGAAAGTCTCAGCCTTTTGGAATTTTTGCACAAAAGCTGTGGCACTCGGAAATTCTATTATATTCTGAGAATGTTTCGATGCCTTTAGTTGCGACTGAGGACATTTAAATTCAAAGCTGGTCTTCCTAAATATAGAAAGGTGATTTGTTACTGAACTGTAAATATTATATGTAACAATAGAGAAAAGTTGACTCAGACTATCAAAATTTGAAAATCCGACTTTTTAAATATATTTTTATTCATTTTAGAGAGGAAGGGAGAGGGAGAGAAATATCAGTGATGAGAGAGAATCATTGATTGGCTGCCTCCTGCATTGCCTGACACTGGGAATTGAGCTGCAACTGGGCATGTGCCCTGACCAGGAATCAAACCTCCTAGTTCATAGGGTGATGCTCAACCAACTGAGCCATGCTGGGCAGGCTGAAAATCGGTCTTTTTTAAAAAAAAGAAAAACCCTTTTCAAGTTAATTGTACTTTCCCTTTGTCCTAAAAAACTTAATTTTTTATTCACTTCTCCTAACACAAAATTTGTCCCCCCCTGTGCTACAATAGATCCCATCTACAACTGAATTCAATTGCACACAGAAAACAACATAAATATTCTAACACATCTCTGTCACCTACACATAAGAATAAAACTGCACATGATTAGCCGAAGCCGGTTTGGCTCAGTGGTAGAGCGCTGGTCTGAGGACTGAAAGGTCCTAGGATCGATTCCGTTTAAGGGCATGTACATTGGTTGGGGGCATAACCCCAATAGGGGGTCTGCAGGAGGTAGCTGGTCGATATTTCTCTCTGATCGACGTTTCTATCTTTCTATCCCTCTCCCTTCCGCTCTGTGGAAAATCAAAATATATTAAGAAAAAAAAAAACAAAAAAAACAAACTCCACATGATTAAATATTGGTCAAAGCCTATCTGATGGGAGAAAAGAATCACTGAAAAGCCTCTTTCCTCTCCTGGACTCCCACAACTTGCTCTTCACTTCCTTCTATACCCCAAGTCACCTTCCTCAATGATGGGTTATAAATGTTACTAAAGACACATGAAGTCAGAGGTGATTGCTCAACATATGTTAAAATACCTAATTAAGTACCGTTTTCAGTTTCAATTTAACCATCTTTTGATGTTGCACCTTTGTCTCTTCAATCCACCTTTCTGTATTAAGTCGTTTGAATTTTACCAACTTTACTACTTATGAAATTATGTCACATATTATGTCTGCTTCCATCCTTCAATCAAAGCGTACCTTCTTCCAAATTTCTTATCCTCAAGAATATAAAAACCAATAGAAAATATAAAAGTATAAACCTGCCAATGCTTTGTGGTGGTGACTGGTTAAAGAAGTCAAATGAAAGCAAACTGAGCATATTAGTGCTAATTGCTAAAAAATGTGGCAGTGAGTCATGAATGAGAGGGATTCTGACGAACCAACTTCAAATCCTAAGAATAGGTGGACGGACTACAGAAGTTTCAGGGTCACAGAGAGCCACAGTTCTTAAAACAGGGCTGAAAAAACCATTTTGGAGACGGGTGTAAATGGTAAAGAACAGATTATGAAACCAAACTGCTTGCGCTCAAATCCCAGCTCTTGCCCCATATTTGCCACGTACTCTAAGCAAGTTTCTTGATCTCTATGCACCTCGATTTTCTCACCTGAAATATGGAAACTAATGATGACCCCTATCTCACAGGACCTGTGTTAGGATTATAGGAGTTAAAGTACTTCTGACAGCAAGGCGCGGAGGGGCCACTGGGCGGGCGGGGTGGTGGCCAGGCGGCGGCCCTGTGTGGAGCCAACGGCAGCCCAACCACCTGGAGCGTGGCCGCGGGGCTGAGCCGACAAGCATGTGGGCGCCACCCGCAGGGGCTGGAGTCTGTGCCAGGTCCTGGGCCTGGGCCTGGGCCTGGGCCGGGGCCGGGGCCGGGTCCTGGAAGGACACTGCCAACCGGGCCCGCTGGCACTGTCTGTGGTCGGTGCTGGCGGTAGCACTGGGGCTGTTGACTGCTGGAGTATCAGCCTTGGAGGTAATCACCCCAAAAGAAATCTACGTGCCCTTTGGGACACAAGGGGTGCTGTCATGCAAGTTCAAGTCTAATATCACCACAGGCCCGGCGACCACAGTCTCCTGGAGCTTCCGGCCAGGGGAGCCCAACACCACCGTGTCCTTTTTCTACTTCGTGGAGGGGGAAGTGTTCCTCGGGGATTTCCCGCTGTTCAAGAACAGGGTCACCTGGGCTGGAGACCTCCACAAGAAAGACGCATCCATCAAAATACAAAATATGCAGTATGACCATAACGGCACCTACATCTGTGATGTCAAAAACCCTCCCGACATCGTCTCCGAACCGGGATACATTGTTCTCTATGTTGTAAACGAAACGGAGCCCACGCCGCCCCCGCCTCCTCAGCCCCGGCCTCCGCCAGCTAGGCCTCAACCGCCCCAGCCTCCGCAGCCCAGGCCTCAGCCCCGGACTCGGCGGCCCAGGCCTCCGCGGCCCGGGCCTCCGCAGCAAGCTGGGACTTCACTTTGGCTGGTGCTGGGTATAGTGTCCGCTGTGATTCTGTGTCTCATCTCCCTCGTCCTCTTCATCATCCTGGTTCTAGGAAAGAAACCCTGGTAGCCGAATAACACCGGGGCCCAGTCATATATGCGCAGTGAGACCACTCCGGGGGAAATCACAGTGACAAGATGAACAACTCAGACTCTGTGTTGTGCGCAGACATCTGGAAAAACTAAGAGAAGACAATCATATGCTAAGCAAGAAACAAATTCAAACATTCTCTCATGCAGCAGGGTAGCGCATAGCATGTATGACCGGGACACGGGCAGGCTCGGAGCGAAGGAGATGTAAGGGATATGTATACATCTTCGATTTAACCTTCGGATGGGAGGAGCAGTGGTGCATGATGAAAAGATATGGTTCTACATATATGTAAATTGTCTCACTGTTGTAAAAAAACATCCAGGGTCATTTACAGTTGGGGAAATTCAGCAACATTCCTGAAACCATCATTTGGATATGGTGTTCCTTATTGGTGATGTAGCAATCTCTTAGTATCCCAACAGACTTGGCCTTTCTGTCTAAGCACTTATTGTAGTTGGAGAATGAAGATACTGTGCGGGAGAAATAGCCAGGGTGGACTGTCTCACACTGTCTGTTCCGACTGTTGGGTTGAAGTTTTTAGGAAACACCCGTTAGAGATGTCACTTGGAAACAATTTGAGAAATTTTTGTGCATGCTTTTTTTCCTCTTTAAAGCAAAGGTGGGGAACCTTTTTTCTGTCAAGTGCCTACTTGGGTATTTATAGTATCATTCTACAGACAGACAAAATTATCAACTTAAAAATCAGTCTGCTATATTTGGTCAAACATTTAATTAACTCACCCTGACGCCTTTTGCAAGCCTTATACAGCCCTTGGGTCAAAGGTTCGCCATCCATGCTCTAAAGCAAAGGGCATTTTAGCTTCCTAAGTTGTCACAGGGACTTTGAGGTTACACCCTTTCCTGTCAGCTTGTTCATCACAGCAAGGTCAGCAGGGATAGCTGCCAGGCCAGTCTTCCTTGGTCTCTCAGACCAGAGCCCTGTACATGGAACTGAAATAGGAGCTGCAGCCTGGGGAGGAGCTGAAGGCTTGGGGAGGAGCTGGCTGCCTGGGAAAGAGAGCACAGGTGTGTTACTTTCTTTGCTGCTGGAAAGGAGAAGCTGCTGGGGAGGAGTTCACTTCCTTCCATGGGGGCAGGTATGGGGAACATGGAACCTCCATTCCCACACTTAACTCGACCCAGAAGACTGTTTGAATCTGAAATCATCTTTTCCCATCAGAAATCATGTAAACTGAATAGTCCACTCCAGACCCCCAAATGATCCCTGTTTTAAGCATTCTTATATACAGTACATGTCTGGTACACTGTTTAATTTAAACAAACACTTTTGAACAAAATATATATATATATATTTTGGACAATGCCTGACAAAGAGTAAATGGAATGTAAGTATGTATTAGCCATTATTATTATCATTATTGTTCCTCCCTCTGGAACTCATGAATTGGACATAATGTAAATGCAAGCTGGAAGCTTTGTAAATATTCAAGAAAGTACTCTGACATTAGAAATGACAGAATTCTTAAATGGAATGTAAAAAATAACCCATGAAGCAAACCAGAAAAAACACACACACAATTTTGAGAAGACAAAGGGTAACAGAATTCAAGTAGTTACCAGATGAAAGAGGGTGACATGGACATACATCTTGTTAGGTCCAGAACAAAAAGAATTTACAGACACTAAGGAGTCATGTTGAAGTTTAAACCTGGACAGGAAGAAATGGAAGTATCGTGATGAGGATGATGATGATGACACTGAAAGTAGCTAATCACATCTAATACCAATTAAGTATCTACCATACTCCTGACTCTATGTTGGAACTAAACTTACATTAAATGGCACAACCCCATGAGGTACATACCATTAGGAAGTAGAGATATGAACAAGTCAAGAAACTTACATAAGGTCACCCAGCTAGTACAAACTAAAGGACTCAAACCGTGTATTTCTCTATGACTGCAAGGCCCATTCTCTTAAGCTACAGTATAATCCACACCTACGATGGATCCTAGGGTCACTTTATAGTTTTAGCAAAACATTTAATACAATGTTTCTGAAGGCACTTTATTAACTGAATTAACTCAATGCACTAAAATCCCTTGGAGTGCCTCCACTCAGAAGCAGACTGAGAACTAACATGGTACTAAGGGATAAAATACAGAAGTAAGATTCAATCTATGTCCTTGGTAAGTGGCATCTACTGTATACATTAGCAGAAATCAAGCTATATTAAAATAATCCAAACCTGAATAGCTCTGTGGTTCAGCTGTTTGCAGAAAGCCCTCACATCAAATTCTGATGACTCTGCTGTGGAGATGGAAAGATCAAATACAAAAACTTAGGCATACCATTTTCAAATCAACAAATACGTAAGTGCATGATATTTCTTGCCAAATTATTTTTAAAAGTAGAGGAAGCAAGCAAAGAACTATGAGACAATAGGAACAAACAACTTTAAATGTTCAAACTTAGAAAACACATGTTTTCATTACCATACCTCTTTGAAGACAATCAATGTGTGTTACAAATAAAAAGTATGGGATTACTTCTATGCAACCCATGAATATATTGTAACTTCAACTTTTTTTTAAGTATGTGCTATATCAAAGTATATTACCTTTGAAGATATTCTTTTTCTTTACTGGCTCTCCAAGATCCACATTATTCTGTACATTGATCTTCATTTGATTAGCTTTATTGGAACTCCTATGTGAAGTTTCTTCACTGCACCTCAGTGATCGTTCTTTTGTTTAGAACAGTTTAGTTAGCAATTTAGCTGCAAAAGCTGTAGGCATCTTTTTCTTAAAGACCTCTAAATAAGGCTGTCCTAAAAATTCAACAATATCAGAAGGAAAGGTAAAATCTTTGAGGTAAGGCAATGGGTGAATCCTTGAGACCTCCTGAAGCAATCCAAACAATGGCTCATATAAAGAAATCAGCCTTTTAAAAACACCTTTATAGAGAACCCTAGAGAAAGAAATAGATCATGAATGAACCAGTAACTACAATTTGCAGATTACATAATTACCACAATTCAAAGCTGAAAATAAATGCCTATCAACTTACCACTAAAGATAAAAAACCCTATCGCACATATTTGCAAATAGTCAGATTAATCTAGCCTTAATAGAAAAACCCCAAGTACAAAATGTTACTTAAGCGTTAGCAAGTTTGGCTCAGTGGTTTGAGAGTTTGCCTGCAGACTGAAAGGTATCAGGTTCGATTCCAGTCAGAGGCACATGCCCAGGTTGCAGGCTTGATCCCCAGTAGGGGAGCAGGGGGGCAGCCAATCCATGATTCTCTCTCATCATTGATGTTTCTCTCTCTTCCTCTCTGAAATCAATAAAAATATATTTTAAAAATCAGTTATTTAAAACACACACATAGCCAAAAGCGGTTTGGCTCAGTGGATAGAGTGTGGGCCTGGGGACTGGAAGGTCCTGGGTTTGATTCCGGTCGAGAACATATACCTTGGTTGTGGGAACATCCCAGGTAGGGGGTGTGCAGGCGGCAGCTGGTCGATATTTCTCTCTCATGGATGTTTCTAATTCTCTATCCTTCTCCTTTCCTCTCTGTAAAAAATCATTAAAATATATTTTTTTAAAAAATTAAATAAACAAATAAATAAATAAAACACACAACAAAATGTTACTGAAAACTAAATGAAGCCCTAACCGGTTTGGCTCATGGGATAGAGCATCAGCCTGCGGACTGAAGGGTCCAAGGTTCAATTCTGGTCAAGGGCATGTACCTTAGTTGCGGGCACATCCCCAGTAGGGGGGGTTCAGGAGGCAGCTGATCAATGTTCTCTCCCATCGATGTTTCTAATTCTCTTTCTCCCTTCCTCTCTCTAAAAAATCAATAAGACCGCGGCGGCGGAGGTGGCGGCGAGCTGAGGGCTGCGGCTCGGGGGCTCCGCCACCTTAAGAGGAAAGGAGTAGCTTCTCTGAGGCCTGGAAAACCCCAGCGGAGAGGTCCATCAAGCAGCTGAGAAGCCCGAATTGGCGCAGACACGTGGATTCAAGGGAGCTCTTTTCTGTCACCCACGGAAAGAAGAAGGAACACCACATAACCAGACATCCTGAAAAGAGAGGCCATGGGGAGACAAAAACATAGTCCGCACATGAAAGAAAAGCAGGCATCACCAGAAAAGGAAGTAAACGAGTCAGAGGCAAGCAGCCTACCAAAGCAAGAATTCAGAGTAATGATCATAGGATGGCTAAAAAGAATGAAAGAGAAATTTGACAATAGCCAAGAAGAAATGAGGAAGAACCATGAGGAACTGAAGAAGAGCCATGAGGAACTGAAGAAGAACCAAGAAGAAATGAAAAATGACATCGCTACCATGAAGAACTCAATAGA